TTTTTAATCTAACTTGCATTTATTCTATCTATACAGATGGAGGTGTGAAGCCAAGATAAAATAATAATCTATTTACTAGAAAAACTGAAAACTAATACAGCTTATTGTACCCAAATCCATAAACATTGAAACAGATTGGACTTAACAAAATTAAATACTTTACTTTGATAAATATCCAAACTGAAATATCAGTAAAAACACCTTTCACCGCCTTAGATATACATAAAGTATATCTGATACAAGTAACTATATCATCTCAATAAAATATTAATCATATCTCTGCTTAACCCTAGATTCAGAATGAGATACACCAAGTTGCATGAATGTCCATGACTTTGTTAATTAAAGGGTGGGTCCTTAATAACAAAAGTAAAACAAAATAACTTTAAAAAATTACTAATACTGCAATTAATTCTACTAAGGGTCTCTTTACATATAAAATGAGTAATTTCACCCAATTTTCTGGGCAATTCTTTACACCAAAAGTTGTAACATGAAGAAGAAGAAAAAACAAAAAACATTCACTCAATACAATGGAACATGCAGACCCCAGAGAGATGAACAGTATAAAAACAAGTCACTATTTGAGAGTTAACTGTGACAAACGTTATACATGAGAGACCATGGGCATCTGCGTGGGAGGGATACAATTCTTTCTTCATTCAGCATATGAATTGGTTTTTTATTATTATTATTATTTGCTTCACAATTTTACACTAATTACTAAGTTATAAGTTTAATCAATATATTAACTAAGCCTTCCACTGAAGTGGACACACGTCCCCCACCCCTCTCTTGAGCACTACCAGGCAAGTTAGAAATTTTGTACTACCACGACAGATGGTTATTTCCCTCCCTTTAGGCTTCTTCAAATTTAACACTTTTGAATTTCAAATAAGTAATAAAATATTAACATACGCATCTTTTGTATCATGTGTATCAAACGTAATCGCACACTTAAAGAGTCGTTTATTTATATGGCCATGAAAGAATTAAAATGAAGAGGCATCATAGTAACACTGGAAATGTGTAAATCATTCACCCAGTGTTAGTCAACCAAGACTACCAAGAGTCGTTTATCTATATGGCAGTGAAAGAATTAAAATGAAGAGGCATCATAGTAACACTGGAAATGTGTAAATCATTCACCCAGTGTTAGTCAACCAAGTTAAAAAAACTAATTTCACCATCTTTGTTACTGTACAGATAAGCACCACTTATTTATACAAGTACATCATTACCAGCACTAGTGCTGCAAGAGCACTTACTTACAAAGTTAGGGTTTCCATCCATTCAGGGTTTAAATTAGCTCGAATTGTTTTGGTCTTTTTCTTCATACTATCGCCCATTTCAGGAATAAGTTTCAGCTTCACATATGGATCTGACAAACCATTTGGGTCCATAGGAATGAGATTTTTAGCTTTACGAACTTAGAAAGAAAAAAAAAAATGACGAGAAAAGTTAATTATGATACGTCATCATTCTTTGGTTTTGCTTGTTTTGTATGCATCTTCTGGGGAAATATTCTTATTATAAACTGAATATTAAAAATTCTAATAAATTAAACAGCCAAAACTAATCAACCCAAGAGTGGTCAGTTAGCTAAAAAGAATAATAACTATGATATCTGACTGGATAGTTAAGAGCTAATCAAATTGTATTAAATAACTTTTTAACACGAACTGAGGTGCGGGGTTTTTAAGAAAGATGTTTAACAATGAACTTTACTTTAAAATCAGTTTGAATTGTTAATATTCAAAATACATTTACAAGAATATTGCTTCAATTATTAAATTAGTTAAAACAGATTCTTCACTTTGTCCTATCAGAACAGCCTGTCCATCTAACTTATTTCCTTAGCAATGGAGAGCCCTATATTTACTAAACAAAATGTCATAAAATTAACTTTCCAAAACAATTTCCTTTATTATTTCATTATTCCCCTCCAAGTGTCGTTATATTCATCATTTTTAAAGAATACAATATACTCAAAACAGAAATATGGAATTGTAAGTGAACAGAACATCTTTATAGAATTCCCTTACAATCACCTTTTAAAAAAAATGGAAGTGTATCCAAAATGGTTCAACATCTTGGATTTGAAAATTAACTGAAACATAAAAGTGCTCACATAAAAGCTAATGCTTCAACAAAGAAGGTTAAACCACCCGTACTTAACTTTATAAAAGTTTCCATTTTATCACATTATGGACATTTAATGTTTCTCAAACACACATTAAAGATTTTCACATTCTTGAAAAGTACGAGTCACTTTAACTACAATAACGATGTAGAATTCAGTATCATTTATTTGTACAATACTCCATCCATCAACAAATAATTTAGACAGGCAAGAGACGAGATCTAACTTATGGAGCTAGTTTTTGTTTGTATTTTCTATAAGTTGGAGCCATGGGAATTATAGTCTTACTTATACGAGGTCTTGTTATCTGCTAAATAAAGAACAGGTAATGCAAGACTCGTCACAAGAACTGTTCTTTGAAAACTCTGGAAGTGCTATAATATTTGGATAAAACATCATTCGTTACTTGGAGAAGTGACTTGAATATGAACTTTATTCTAAGAGTTACAACTTGCATAAAAATCCACCAAAGATTTCATACAAATGTACAAAATCAAAAACAGATTCACTAAAGCACAGAACATTTATTTTACCGTTAAAAAACAGATTCACTAAAGCACAGAACATTTATTTTACCGTTAAAAAACAGATTCACTAAAGCACAGAACATT